AAAAAAATTGCAATGATAAGCGTATAAAAGCATAGCTTCAACTTATGTATATTTTAAAGAAGGTTCCTCTTGATTCGTTTTCTCGAATTTCAGCGAATTTTATAAAATACCCTTTTAAGATTTCGAAGTGATTTCAAAAATTAATTATAATGCAGGTATTAAACAGCTGTGTGTGGAATGCTTTTTCACACCCGGACCCAATTGTGTCAAAAGCTCTTAATCTTTTGTCGCAATTTAAAAATACTTGGGATTTTTTGTGGAAAATGTTATTCATGATAATCAAAGCAAAAACCTAATGAAGGCAGAAGCGCTCAAGCGATTCGCGGGTTGTCGCAGTACTTTGACAGTATCGATCCCTTCCAACCCCTGAGACCGAATGAAATCCGCCAATCCTTTGGAATCCATGGACATGGGCAAATTCTTCAGATGCACCGCTTTGGGATCAATTGGCAATTCTGTCGCGTGCCGAACCCGGTAACCCAAGCCACCGAGGTCACGAATGATTCTCTTCGCGATGCTTTCTTCAGCGACTTCCACGAATCCTGTAAAAAAAATAAAAGACCATCGGAAAGTGTGATTTATAATTATAACATTCAATTTTTCAAGAATTGAACCGACCGAAGTCCAGTTTCTCAAAGGCCTCGTCCGAAACATCCAATGGGTCAATGTTCTCCTTCAAACCATCGCCGCCTCCGTTGCGATGGTCCTTTCTCCTGTTTCTCTTGAGGATTTTCACAGACAGAACTGATCCATAGTGTGCCTACATTTCATTTAAAAAATAATAATTTTGCAGATTAAAAAAAATAAAATACGAAAATTGAATGCGAAAAAAAACTATATATTACGAAAGAAATTGTCGACGGCTGGAGACGTTTTCGAATTTTGACATTTAATTCATTCCTTCCACGGATAGCTTGAAATCTTTTATCATTGATTGGTATTATTTCAAACGAAAAAAAACATGGAAAAGCTTGTTTTTTTTTAAGTAAAAATGATCATCAGAAAATTTTCAGAACGCGGCAGAAGCAATGAGCGATTTTGAGCTTTCGGCAATTTTCCTCGGCGGGGTTTTTTTTACTTACAACTCCCCGAACCTTTGAAAAAAACTAATAGTTTGGAATAATTTTTTAAAAATTAGGCATGCAAAATTTGGATATAAAGGTCAGAATGATTCCGTAAATCACTTGAATACAAACACATTTCAGCTCTTCTGCAATTTTTTTTTCAATTAATACTGGCCACTGAAATTTGTGAGCTCAAACATCAGTGTCAAAATTCTACATTTTCCCATGTTATATTTTTTATAATGTACCATGAAATAAATCCAAAAGTCAAGTTCAGTAGTTTTCCATTTGATCCCATCCATCCAAATGCGATACGCTTTTGATGGAATCTGTGGCTTTGGCGGAGGCATTCGGAGATTCGGAAGTGACAGCTTCAATGCACCAGTTTCAATCTGAAAAAAAGTTCAGTATTTGAATGTTTTTTGCAATGAAAAAAAGAGGGTTACGTGTAGGAAATAATTTCTTGGGACAATTTTGCTGAACGACTGGCGTTTTCTGCCCGGAAAATTGCAGTATGGCTTAAAGCCTGGTGAAATTAATATCTTTGGGTCTGCAGTAAATTATTTGCAAACATCTCATCACTTCTCTGTTTATTTTTTCAAGCTTTCAACAAATTTCTGCCAGTTTTAAATGTCACACGAAAATTACATGCTCACCAATGGAATACTTCACTATGTTTTTGTGCTGACGACGACCTGAGTATTCTTCTTCAAGTGTGCATGTGCGAATGTTTTCAAAAAATAGCGACAATTTTTTCAACAGAAGCGTTGTCGGAATATTTTTCTTTTTTTGTTTGTGGCAAGATGAATATTTCGTAAATTCACCAAAGGAATGGAGGCAAAGTGATCGTCCGGCGGTTCGATGACAAAGTTGGGCGTGACCTGACTGTAACTGCGATGGGCCGCGCTGTAGTACTCAACCAGGGCTCGATTGGCCAAAAGAGAATCGGTGATTTTATTGTTGCCGTGATTGGCAGCAGTGGCCCCGGAATAGGTCGAGGTGTAAGGCTGGTCCAAGCCGTGACCCGGGCTGTACATGGGCAACATGGGGCTGCAAGACCTGGACGACTGGTTGCTGTGCTGGTGGCCCTGGGGATTTCAATTTAATGTAATATTTTCTGATGTAATATGATCCTGTTCATGAGATATATTAAGCCTCCATTTCTACAAAAATACAGTTCCAAGATTTACGAATCCTTATGAAAGCACTCATTCAGAGAAGGTAAATATTGTTGAGAGAGACTGAGATTGAAGAGTTGAACCTAAGTATTTCATTGTTGCAGGTAGACTCTCCTTACAATTTTCTCTATAAAACAAATTAAATAGGGGTTTCTATTGCATAAAAATTATTTTTACAATGAGATTGTCTGGTTGCTTCGTAGAGAAAACTTATCAATTTATCAGTGAGTTTTAATAAATTAAAATAAATTGTAAAAATAGATTGACGAAATTATTTCAATAAGCCATACAAAACTCTAAAAATGTGGAAGCTATTTCAGACCATTTTTTTAGAGTCTTTCTGGATATAGGTTTGATTTTGGAGTGTCCCACAAATATTTTTGAACTGCCACAAAATATGACTGTCAGGCAAGGAATGGGTTGAAATTTCTTTGTAGAAGCTCCTTAAAGAATTTTGTTTATTGAGTTCCCAAACAACAATGAATTAAATGAACTCCACAGTTTCACAATCTGTTTCAAGAAATTTTACAAGCTTTTTTTGTGAGTACTCGCCTCACGTTATGTGAGTTCTCTACAACAAAATTCTTTCTATAACAAATTCTTTTCTGGTCCCTTGAATTTTGATGTAGAAAAACTCCACCTACAAGTACCGTATTTACTCAAGTACCATGCGCACTTTTTTCCCAAATTTCAGAAGAAAAAAGGGGTGTGTGTCATAAGCAGGTACAAAATTTTCAAGAAGTTTTAGGAAGTTATGTGTGCATTATACTTAATTATAATAGAGAAATTTGGAACAAATATAAGAAGAAAGCATTTTTGTACTGAAAAAGTTGAAAATTGATTAGATTTTCGTTCAATTCATGCCTGAAGTCAAAATTTTGATTTTATTTTTGAAATTTTATGAATTAGATTCACTAAATATTGGGGTGCGCGTCTTACTCAGGATAAGATTTTTGCAAAATTTTCAACTGAAAAACCCCTGTGCGCACCTTACTCAAGGGTGCAGGGTACTCAAGTAAAAACAGTATATGACCAAATCACAACCAAATGCATTGATTTCAAATTTTTTAGATGCTGGCAGAGGACAAAAACAAAAAGATATGAAAGAAATAAATGCAAATATACCGGATATGGTCCCAGGATCCCAGCTTGGTTCATGATCACAGCCCTGGGCACGGGTTTCGCCACCTGGACCATGGGCCGGACGTGATACACTGGCGGAGGTGCTCGGACAAACCCAGACACGGGCGAGGGTTCAAATGCTGGCTGCTGCTCCGGAAACGACGTGGGTTGCACAAAGGAGAATCCGTTGACTCGGTTATTGGGTGTCGGAAACGGGGTTGCAGGTCGGGATTCCGCAGTGTGACAGGCCAAAAGCAACCCGGTGCTGTCAAAGTTGTACAACAAAGGACGGGATTGTTGGTTGTGGGGTAATCCAGGGTCTGCTGATGAGAGATTCAAGTGGTTTTGCTGCTGCTGCTGTTGATGCTCAAGTGATTGCTGCATCAAAAGGGGAATGAGAAAATAATAAATATTGTGCATGAAAATGTTGGAAAATTTTGTAACTCAAATTAAACTCAAGCCTGGAAGCAGCTTCATTTAGCAATCAAATGAATTGGTTGATGTATTCCTAAGAGGGAAAAAATGAATGCAAAACTGTCCTTTATTCAGGCTTATTGAAAAAAAAATTAAGTCAAAGACAGCCAATTTTACAATGCAACCCACAAAATGGTTTTTAGGTGGACATCTGCCAATTTTGTTCAGTCTTTGATCTGAAGTTAAACAAGGTTATAATCTTAGAATGATGGAGTTTACGCTATTCACATATTTTTTTCAGACATAAGCATAGAGGTGGTATCTTTCAATTCAACCTCCCAAAGTTCAACCATCCCACAATTTGAAAGTCAAATTTTCTGGGAGGTCAACAACTCCCAATTCAACCTCTGCTGTGCAATTCAACCTGTGCAGAGTCATGAAATGTCCAATGTCATGCAGAAAACATGACATTTGACATTGTCTTGCAATTTGACTGCTTCAAAATTCAACCCTATAGTCCAGCAACGGATCACTGTTGAATTGCAAGGTACCATCTGTATATCTTACTGACTTACAGCCTTGATCCTGTCTTGGCTGACTAAATCCTGGATATGGTAGTTCATCGCATATCCAGCATTTCCCCTAGCACTAGATGTCGCTGCATGTTCCCCTAAGTCTCCATGGTTCCCCTCCATTTGTATCTGCCTCCAAGTATGTTCAGTGTGTCCATCTCCAGTTTGATTTGCTTCATAAGCATACGCATGCACTGGAAACCATGTTTGATCGCTTGAATCTCCTTTAAAAAACCAGGCTTTTTCAGCATGTGAAAACAAATATGTCTGCATCTAAATTTGCAACATGCTTTCAATTATTTACTGTTCTGTGCATCGATTTTTTAACGCTAACATTTATTTACATGAAAAGAAAGCCCTTTTAGTCTGAGGTGTTCCCTCGGTAAATTCAGAAATGCTTAATTTATTAGGCGTCAGAACACATTTTATGGATGCCGTCGGAAATATTTCAGGTTATATTCTCGACTAGACATTAAATTGAATATTAGACTAGGATACATAGACATTTCAAAGCTAAACCTTGAGTTCGGATTTAAGTTGAGCTATATGTAAGACTCACAATTGACACGACTTTTAAAATTTAATTTTAAAATGCTGTTTAGATAAATTTCGAAGATTTTGCGGGTGGAAAGAACCAAAGGGTTATTTTTACGTGATTATAACCTGAGGTCGGGGAAAATGCGTCGTTGAAAATAGGGTGGATTTGAGGGTTTGACCACCGATGTTCATCAAACCCTTCAGCGTAGATTTGCCAATGATCTGCTGAATCAGGTGGTTCCAAGGCAGGTCCAAAATTATCTTGAGCAATTGAAACTTCCTGAGAAAAATTGTCAAGAAATAAAAAGATAGAAATATACAAAAATTTAATGTAAAACATACCATGAAAAAAAATTCGAGAACATTCCTTAGGAGGTGCTGGTCCAAAAAAAGGTTTGAGGATGATTAATCAATAAATTAAGAGGTGAAAGAAAAATAAATCTCGAAATATAGCCCATAAATTAAACTAATTAATGACTTTGGATACTATATTTCATTGCAAATGTACTTTCTGCAACCATTTAAAATTCTCAGCAAGACTTTAATTACAAGCAAAATATAAAAATAACCAGAAGAGGTTGAATATCAAGTCGCAAGACATTTTACACACGTGACATGAATAATCCAGTAAGTAACCCCAGGATATTCAAATGAAAGTAAAAATATATATAAAACAAGAAAAACCACCTGCTCAAGTTGAGAAGCAAGAGTGTCATCGATTGCTCCACTGGAAGAGGACATTTGCTGAGATTCAAGTCCACACACAGCCTCAAAGAGCGACATTTCTTATCGGACTTTCATTCCCAAAGAATATCCAGTGGGAATTCGAGCAGCTAGAGAATTTCGCAAGAACGAAGCAGCAGAACATAGGGAGTAAAAAAAAACCCTTCGAAATGAGCGAAAAAAGCTAATTACTTTCCGTTTCTTAAGCTTAAGTTCGAGAGGAACCCTCTCTCCTTCATTTAATAGGGCGGAAGGGAACCGGAAAATAGAATTTTGAAGCAGAAATTTAAAGGAAATCCGACCTTCATCGAGCTTCTTTATTTGCTCTGAGTGGGATACGAATTTCTCCTAGTCCCTGATGTCGTTCATAACCTCGAGTGCAAGTGATGACAGAAAAATAATTCTGTAAAGTAAAGTAGGTGTCGCCTAAATTACAGATATGAGCATAAGTACTACACTATACCGTACCATGAATACAACAGATCGTTTCTTATTTTTCTGTACACTGTTGAAAAATAAGAAACGAAAATCAGACACAATCTTTGAATTCTGGGATTTAACCATTCATCAGAATGTTTTTGTGATGAATAGTTTCATTTAATGAAGTACCGTATTTACTCAAGTACCATGCGCCCTCAAGTAAGGCGTGCACAGGGGTTTTTCAGTTAAAAATTTTGCACAAATCTTATCCCAAGTAAGACGCGCACCCAAATTTTTAGTGAATCTAAAACCATAAAATTTCAAAAATAAAAACAAAAAATTTCACTTTAGGCGTGAATTTAACAAAAATCTGATCAATTTTTAACTTTTTCAATACAAAAGGTTTTCTTGTTATATTTGTTCAAAATTTCTCTATTATAATTAAGTATAATGCACACATAACTTCCTAAAACTTATTGAAAATTTTGTACCCACTTATGACGCGCACCCCTTTTTTTCTTCTGAAATTTGGGGAAAAAGGTGCGCGTGGTACTTGAGTAAATATGGTACATTATATTTGGCTAAAAAAACTAGGTTATATTTCTTTTCAGTGCTGAGAGATACCACATTCCACAAAATATCCCAACTTTATTGTTTAAAGTTTAGATATAAAGGGTTTGAGCAAAACTTGAGGCTAAACATGTGAGGAAGTTGAAGCGACATCTATTTCATGACAAGAGTAAATCAAGACTGTGAGACATCTGGAAGCCAAGTTTAGAAAGAGCATCGCTTCTCCAGTTTTTTTTTAAATTTTTTTTATTGCTCAATGAGTATATTCAGTTCACGGGGCATGAGTCAGGAATATACCCGGTACAGTGTTCAGTTGATATAGTCAAGAGAACGATTCAGATATTGCACTAATCAAACAAGACAAAGTTGGAGATAAATTTGGGGGTTTTTGCTGTTGGATTTCCATCGTTGTCTGTGTGCATTCTTATCTTTCCAAAAGATAAGAACTGGGACTCGGAAACATTTTTCTTTCTTCCATATCACCATTCAGGCGCAGTTTCGAACCCAGGAATAAGTGATTGGTGGTGTTCTCCTCGTGTTTCTTTTTTCGCGGGGGATTTGGGATCAATTTATTTTGAAAAGTGGTTTCTGGGGACTGGGAGATGTGGAGGAAAATTTCGTACAATTTCGGAGCCGTTTGCGGCGTTTTGTTGCTGGTTTCAGCGGCGACCGAAGCACAGGACGCCCAGAGTCAGAGTTTGGCAGAAAGAAATCGACAGCATGCTCAGTACAAGTACCCAGATAATTACGGTGAGAACCTTGACCTCAATTTTTCTGATCTTATTTAAACGATGATATGAGAAGGAATGTTGAAGAAGCGTTACCAACCAGAGCCTGGATTATCAAATAATGTACACGAATTCTCTCAAAAAATTTGATCAATGAACCCCGCCTCAAAAATACGATTCCAATTCGTTAAAAAGGAGTGATTTCAATGAACAAGGTGCCGATAAAAAAATATGTGAATCCCCAAATCGCAGAATTGATTTGGCAGTCCATGTAATTCACCTAACTTTATATCAATTATAAAGGTTTTGTTGCAATTTAGCAAACACTCAATGAAGACGACTGATCATTCTGAAAATGTAAAATTTGTTTCCGCCTGGAATTTTGCCATAAAAAAATTAGCTGGCAAATAAAATACTCGATCTTGTCCTTCATTCAACAACAAAAAAATAATCTGCATGACATTCTGCCCCCGCTATAGAGTAATAAAAATAATCCATAGACAAATTTCTATGGGAATAGAATAGTTTCTAAATTGAAACATCAATTGACTCCTTGATTTGAAAATGTTTCCTTTCGATGTTCTCTCAAAACCACTGGTATGCTGTCGCAAAAAAATAATTATTGGAATTTAAAAAAAGAGAATATGCATGTTTTTCCGATTGAAGAATTAGCATTGAGTGTTCTTTCGTTTCATTTATCTTTCAAACAGTTCTAAAATATAGTAGCTGGGAACATTCTCGGTTCGCGGAAATTAGAGATTTTATGTCAGAACTTTTATATAGTACAGCTTATCTTTGGATGAAGAATTACTCTTACAGCTTCGGTATCCGTCGTGTGAAGTGCTTCGGTGTCAGAGTCAAACTATGAAATAAATAGACACGACGATAGGTGGAGAAAGAACAAAAAATAAAAGAAAACTGCCAGGGGAAAATGTTTGGGACCTGGGTCATAGATTCCAGGGAAAACCCAGATAAATCTTTCGCTTCGAAATAATGCGCATTGGAAACTATGGCGCTTTTCCCCCTCGGTATTTCATGTCCCGCGAGATAAAAGGTGATGTTTGATCTTCCGATTGTTGCTTAGGCCTTATTAAGATGGGTCATGAACTAAATTTTTAGGCCAAGTTTCCTGGCAACCGTAGTGTTGCAACTTGCGATGCATCAAGGTCGTTTCCGAATATTATTGGATTGTCAAACCCAGATTTTTCAGGAAAGATTCATCAAACTATTTAAATTAATACGACTGATGAGCCTATATACCGGAGTAAAGAGGACTTTAAACATGAAGTTTCGGTTTTTAAACATGGATGGGAAATTTTTAGCAGCAGTTCACACAAATCGGACCACATGAAAACTTTAAAATCATGTTGTACCAGACACCTTTCAGGTATTAACAAGTTCCAATACAATAATTCAAATCTTGATGATTCTAAAAGCGGCTCATGAACTATAAATGCATTTATTCTCACAAAAAATATATTTTTGGGATGCTTTCTATACATTTATTAAACAACTTCCCTATACGTTTAAATCTACAGAAAATGTTCACGTATAAAGTTTCTCCAAGTTTCTGAAACACTCTTTTGTCGTCGTCAGGAAAACGCAAAAAAGACTGAAAAATCACGATCAAAATAATTATTTTCTTAGACCATATTATAGAAAAAAATGTTGGTTTCAATCCTTATATTCGACTTTCACTTCCTCTTTTTTTTACCTTGAGAGAAATTACTCGTCAAATAAATCAACGTCGTTGCTGGTTGAACTTATTCCAATTTATTTACGATAATGAAAAAAGTGAGGGTGCATCAGGAACATTATAAAATATTCATAAGTAGCATTGATCGCTCAAAAATTACTCGATTTTTATATTGAACATGAGATTTAGGAGCGCACAGTATTTCTAATGATAATTTTGGAAGTGACGAATCAATACCCCATGAAAAAATGCAAACATTTAAATTTTATTTACAATTTCTTAGCAGAGATATACCGTAACCCGAAGATACTTAAAAGACACATTTATACAAGGGACGAAATCGAATCATTCTAGAAAATTCTTGGAATAATCTTGAACTGTGACTCATCGAAGGAAAACGTTACGTCGGGCTTCGCAGTCAAATTTTGTATGACTAATCCCCTTTATTTCCACGTTAAAACTCGTTTTAAAGATTCTATTTCAATAAGACATCCGAGTTAGTGTATACTACAGTATAAATTAGATTGACATGCCGATTTATTTCAGCGAGATACAAAAAAGGTATGAACCGTATCACTGAAATATAGTGACCCATAACTATTGTGTCGTGATAATTGTGCGATGTTTTCTAATCAACACTAAATATTGGAATTACGATGTAAAGAATTCATTAAACTTGGTTTTCATTTTTATTTATATGTATACGATGATGATGAGTACAAGAAGAAGAGCTTCATGATTGTGTCCCTTTTTTCGATTCTTGGTCATTATTATGATCACGTACAGACCCCATGTTTTCGAGGATTGCGCCGAACACGGAAGTGGACCCGGAAACCGGATCTTACACCATGACGGCGGAGAGATTGGAGCAGATCCGAGAGCCGCTCATGTATCCGTTCTACGACGGAG